GTCGAAAAGTGCCTCCAATGGCTAATCAACTTCTTCTTATCAAAAGTCCTTTGAAAAATCCACGTTGCGACGACTCGAACAAACTAGCTAGTATTTCCTAGCTAAATGGCTCAACAGTAGCAGCTTCACATTAAAATCACGGTAAAAGGAAAAATGAGTCGTTCTGTACAAATACCAACAAAATGATAAGAAAACGTTCTCCCTCCGGTGCACAGGCCGACAGAAAACTGGCGTGCGACTGCGTCACGCAAACTTGCCAAGAATGAAAACTGGGACCTCGTGGAGTAGGGTGTACTCCGCCTTATTCGCGTGTATCCGCCCACTCCACAACTACAACTCACTTCGACAAGACGTATCAAGTCAGAAAATAATACAGATCCTAATGCAGAACGGTGTGGTAGGGAAAAAGTGCTGATATCGTGATGACCGGCAAAAACTCAGCCGAGCCGCATGCAGTCTGGTTCGCTGCTGATGACGGGCGCGTTTGCGAAGCTACTTTTAGGCCGGCGCCATCCGTTTTTTTTTTCGGCAAGCGACAGAACTACGTCACACCGTTCGTATCAGTGGTTTTCGCTAGTTGTTGTCACTTACGCGCTTGAACAACCGATGGAGAACGAGATGGCGGCGTGAAACGCAGTCGCGCGCGCGGACACGCCTCGTCATCTGCAACTTTGACTGTACCCCTCTATTCGTACAACGCTAAACTGAAAAGCAAAACGACTACATATAAAGGGCAACTCGACAGTCTCTTCCCAGACGCCGCTTTGTGACCGCTCTTTCATATTTGGACGCCAGAACCCTCATTTTGCCACCAAGCGCTGTGCCTTTAACAAATTATTATAGTTCCTGGTACGAATGCCGCGCATGTGATGCCGCTCACAACGTTGCGTCGTCGCAACGTGGATCTCCCAACCGACACTTTTTGTTATCGCTATTTCAGCCAACAAAAGCAGATCGAAGTTTTTTTTCAAACTCTAAATTGCGCTATCTAGTCAGATGTGCTTACTTATGCCTGCACAACACATTGTCCCACGCCGCTTCCCGACTCCATCCGATTGCCATATCAATTACGGGCTCCATTCGTATACTTTCAATAGCAATGTGCTTCTTCTTTGCGAGAGCCCTGAAAGTAATTCTTTTTAGAAACATGTCAACTCACATCAAGGGATACTAAACTACCTCGAAATTGTTCCAGCGCTGCCAAGCTTCTGCCGCATGGTTTCAACATTCACCATATATTTGCGAACTGAGCCGTCCAGCCCAGATGACAGAATCTAAAACGAAAAGTCTTTAGAGGGTTTCAATGCAACTGAACTAGTACCGCTTGGACAGGAGCATTTTCATCCGCGCACAAGAATTCTTAGTGCTAGCGATCTTAGTGGCAGTTGGGGGGGGGGGGAAGGCGGGGGAGGGAGGAGGAAGTCAAGCGCGGAGAACGTCCATGAGAATGAGAGAGAATTTCCGATAAATAGAGCCCGGCCCGAAGAGTCCCCTCTCGTGTGAGAGACAAAAACACACACGACAAAGACCAGAAGAAATAATGAAACATAAGGGAAAAAGTGCTGATATCGTGATGACCTGGCAAAAACTCAGCCGAGCCGCATGCAGTCTGGTTCGCTGCTGATGACGGGCGCGTTTGCGAAGCTACTTTTAGGCCGGCGCCATCGGCGCCATCCGTTTTTTTTTCGGCAAGCGACAGAACTACGTCACACCGTTCGTATCAGTGGTTTTCGCTAGTTGTTGTCACTTACGCGCTTGAACAACCGATGGAGAACGAGATGGCGGCGTGAAACGCAGTCGCGCGCGCGGACACGCCTCGTCATCTGCAACAATTTCGACTGTACCCCTCTATTCGTACAACGCTAAACTGAAAAGCAAAACGACTACATATAAAGGGCAACTCGACAGTCTCTTCCCAGACGCCGCTTTGTGACCGCTCTTTCATATTTGGACGCCAGAACCCTCATTTTGCCACCAAGCGCTGTGCCTTTAACAAATTATTATAGTTCCTGGTACGAATGCCGCGCATGTGATGCCGCTCACAACGTTGCGTCGTCGCAACGTGGATCTCCCAACCGACACTTTTTGTTATCGCTATTTCAGCCAACAAAAGCAGATCGAAGTTTTTTTTTCAAACTCTAAATTGCGCTATCTAGTCAGATGTGCTTACTTATGCCTGCACAACACATTGTCCCACGCCGCTTCCCGACTCCATCCGATTGCCATATCAATTACGGGCTCCATTCGTATACTTTCAATAGCAATGTGCTTCTTCTTTGCGAGAGCCCTGAAAGTAATTCTTTTTAGAAACATGTCAACTCACATCAAGGGATACTAAACTACCTCGAAATTGTTCCAGCGCTGCCAAGCTTCTGCCGCATGGTTTCAACATTCACCATATATTTGCGAACTGAGCCGTCCAGCCCAGATGACAGAATCTAAAACGAAAAGTCTTTAGAGGGTTTCAATGCAACTGAACTAGTACCGCTTGGACAGGAGCATTTTCATCCGCGCACAAGAATTCTTAGTGCTAGCGATCTTAGTGGCAGTTGGGGGGGGGAGGGAGGAGGGAGGGGGGAAGGAAGTCAAGCGCGGGACCTCCTGGAGATGAGGAGAATTTCCGATAAATAGACCCCGCCCGAAGAGTTCCCCTTCGCTGCGACGCCTGACTCCATAACCAGCCGTCCATCTCGTCTGAATTTTCCGAAAATTTGTCGTTTGCGTGTAGGTGAAGTGGGGGAGGGAGCACCCTTTATCAACTATCAGAAATAGACAAATCAACTATCAGAAGCTGTAGTTCTGCGGCGATGCCTATTGGGAGGGGAGGGTAGTACACATGGAACGAGCATGAGAAACATCAAAAATTCTCCCTAGTCGTGCAACTGTTTCCCACCTACCAAAAACGACCACCCCTCGTGAGAATTCCCAGCGTGCGAAGCGCCTTGGTCAGACGGCAGCGCAGCTCCTCTTGCACCCCCCCCCTCGCACCCCTGCCCCGAGATGGCGATCCCATTCTTCACAACCTCAGCCTTACCAGAACGCAGACCACCATGAGGAAGTACCTACCAACGCCGCGATTTTCTCCCCTAAACTGCCTTAGTAATGAATTCTGCCATGATATTATGGCATGAAAAAAAGACTGTGTCAGCGCGTGGGCGGAGCTATCTGGTAACTGGCCTATCGCCGTACACATCGTGTCGTCAACAGACAAATTGAGCAGGTTCACTCACAGGTATGCTAGATAAGACCTCCCGCATCTAGCACAACCTTCGCCTTGAAGCCTCTAGAGAGCTTTTGCAC